CCTTTGTTGTTCATATTCTGTAATTTAATTTTGATAAGTTAGATCTATTATTCTCTCTCTCCCTGAAACTACACGTGAAATGCATTACTATAAATAGTCTATAATGGTTTCTATTAAGCTGGGTTAAAAGTAATCTTAAAAAACTAGTTTCCTAAATTTAAAGGCTGAGCCCCTACATACACTGTGACTCTTCTGCTACAGACTGACACAAAACATTTGCTCTATTCACCCTACACACAGCTAAAAATATGATCTGAGAGACTCTCAGTGCTGTAAGTTCCACAGAGTTGCACTACCTGTGAATAAACCTGCCCTGTAAAGGGAAGGTCCCTCTCCAGTTTTTACTAACAGGGTCTGCTGCGATCCTGTGGTGAGGGAGGGCAACAATTGCTGTGTGATGGGGGAGAGAGAGGTCTGCAGTCAAGTTTCCAAGGAGCACGGAAACTTAGCACATACACAACAAAAGGTCCTGGAAAAACAGAGTGCTTTGTTACGAAAGTTTAATAAGGGACGGAAGAGATGCTTAAATCAAACTCTTCATTCCAGAGTTGCTGTGCTTCCTCATTGCTGTATGATGCTAAACTGTTGCACTCTTTTCGTCTGTGATAAACCAGACCTCACCACTCAATGGAAGTTTCTATCCAGTGAGTCTTGTTAAGGACAATCCTTGGAAATTATAAAAAGACTTAAAGCAGCGTTTCCTTAGAAAGTGTCATCGTTTCCCTCCATAGTTAAGATAACTTGAAAATTAGTTATATTTCCCAGTTTCAAGGGAGATCAGTTTTTAATAGCCTGGTCTGTAAAATCCAGAGGGTCAAGAACTGTTTGCTTTTCAACTCTCAGAAACTGCAGGCAAAAATGATCTCTGCTACTCCGGTGTCCATGTAATATAATCAAGTCCTAATCAATTACAATTACATAAAGTGTCAACAAATTAAAATTCCTTCCTGCATAGGTATTCAGCAACAACTTTTATTGCAGGGATTTTCCACTGTGTCTGATAGTGACTGTCAGACAATGACTGGATCCTTTCTCTAAGACACTGGCCATAGGCTTTAGCACTGTCCTTTGTCTTTTGCTAAACACAGTTTCAATCCCTGCTGCTAGAGTTTC